TTGAGAAAAGGAGATGGACAGATTTAGAATTGTGATTTTTCACAGAAAAGGGGTATTTCCTTACTATTTGGGTATGGGACTAACTTTTGGATGTTCCAGAAGGAGACTAGAAGAAAAGTCAGATCCACTGATTGGCAGACCGAACCGTTCTTAACAACTTTAAGGAAGAAGATTGGTATGAGAATTTTCGAAAAAAAAGAAGGAAAATTTCTTAAAATTTGTGAAAAGTTGGAAAATACTTTGGTCCCGGCCTAAAGACTGTAGAAGAGCAGTTGGATGCAAAGAAAATGGTGGCTGTTACCATCTAATGGCTATGGTCTTCAGCGGAATAAAGGACAATATTGGAAATCTTTCTGGTGTTGGGAAATCTACCGTGTTTGATTGCGATCATGAAGTTTGCGAGGTCATCATGGAACATCTGCTTGAAGAATATGTGCATTTTCCAGAAGGAGAATGAAAATGGTGAAGATAACAAACTCTGATCGATCTCAAAAGTCTTTAAACTATACAAATATGTAAAGAGGGAATAAACACGGACCCCTGGTAATTCCAGAGGTGGATCAGGTGCCTAGGAGGAGTAAGCATCCCCTGTCTACCGGTCACACCCATCGTGAGACCAATGTAATGATCAGGTAGGCGGAACATTCCATAGTCAAATTAGTATAAAACAAAGTCCTAACAATTGGTACGAAACAAGTCAGCCAAAATACGACCCAGGGATAGATTATATTTGCTAACAAAATGACTAAAGTCACCATTTAGTTATTTTCCGTCGGTCTCCATATTGGATGTCAACAAGCCCAGATTCCTTCATTATTCAACCATTTTAAACTTGTCATACCGGACAGTGAGGCAAAGAAAACAGTTTTTCTTACATATACCGGTATATATATATATATATATAACAAAACTTTCCTTTAATTCATAAGTTTAGTAATTGAAAGATTTTTGCCCATGTATTTCTGCCATACATGTTCAAAATTAGTTGGTCAAAGAGGAAAATTTACTAGTTTGACCCCCAAGATGGTGGCCAAGGGAAATAACTCGAAGGGAAAATACTTAATACGAAAACTATCTATTGACGAAATGCTGACTTTAAACGAGGTTCTTGACATCCCTGTAACATCAACTTATCTTCAGTAGCCTGCCTCGGTTTAAAAACTGAAAAGGATGAAGAAAGTCATCAAATGCTAAATTGTGGTGGGGCGATTGATATACGCATATTTCTATCATTACTCCTAAGCATTCACATGGAGACTACTTGAACAGGAAGGGTTCTACTCATTGAATTTGCAGGGTGTTTGCGACCGCAACTATCCCTATAGAGACATAAAAATGGATTTGCCAGGAAAGGTTCATGATGCCCGCTTTTTTGCAAATTCAAAAACTTATTTCAGAGGAGATAATGGCTCCTTGTTTCCAGAGTGGAGAAAACAATTTGGAGAAAGTACTATGCGACCCATGCGAGCGTATCCTTTGAAGACTTGGCTTTTGAAGCCATACACCAACAGATCTACCCTTACAAAAACTTAATTCACTTTCAACAATAGTTTAAGTAGAGCAAGAATGACCATTGAAAACCGCATTTTAAGAGCTTTGCTTTCTAGCCGCCATGTCACCGACTGATAATTTACATGCCAAAGCATACATAACAGTAATAATGCTTAAAATGGGGATTGATGCAATATACAAAACGAAAAACTTACATAAGTAAATTTGCTGGACGTTCATACGACAAAATTTACACACTGGAGCAAATAATTTGCGACAACTTGTATGCAAAAGTTAATTTGCACCTTGTCCTGACCAGGTGCAGATTTACTCAACTGTGCAGAATTTGCATATGAGCAAATCAGTTCATACGACAAAAATTGCACATGTAAGTAAATTTACATATGTGTAAAATATACTGAAGTATGCAAATCACGTCGTATGAATGGGGTATAAGTTATACGGAAATATATAGACACTGGAAGAATTAGAAGACTACACTTTTAAAGCTGATATCATGCCTCAATATTTCATAAACTAAAATTATTAAAGTCACAGACATTAATTTGGAAATGACAAGATTCATTTCAATTCTTTTGTGAAAAGAGAATGGTATGGTGACTCAAGTGTGTGTTGTAACTCATGGCTTCTTGATATAATTATAACCTCCTGCAACCAAAATTTGAGTAGGTATATAGGAATCACCTTGTCCATCTATCTGTGCAATTTTGTCAAGGCCATAACTTAGATTGCTTATGACCTAAGGGTTTGACATAACCTTGACCCAAGGTCATTTAGGCCAGTTAAAGGACACCGGCAGGGAAAGTGTAAAATGCATATCTGGTCCATAACTTTCAATAATGACCTTGAACCTAGGCCATATGGCAAGATTAAGATCAATTATACCTGAGGGTGTGTCATGACCTTGAACTTAGGTTGTTTGGCAAGTTCAAAGTCGCTTTCAGAAAAAAAAAAATATATAATTCCTCTCCAACCCACAGGGGCCAATAGCATACTATTCTTGATTTTTATGCCCCACTTGAAAAGGGGGGCTTATTGCTTTGCACCTGTCGGTTAGACCAAGTGCTGTCCACTCAATGTCTTGAGAACTCTGTTTGACAGGCATCAAACTTGGTACACTGGTATCCATGAACCCTATTGATTTTGAAGTCACAGGGTCAAAGGTGAAAGGTCAAACTACTCTAGACATAGGAAGATCTGGTCCGCTCAATATCTTAACAAACATTTGCTTGAAAGACATCTAACTCAGTACATCTTAAGGAGAAGATGAGCCCTCTTGATTTTGAGGTCACAAGGTCAAAAGTGAAGAATTAAATTGGACATAGGAATAAATTGATTGCTCAATATTTTGAGAACCCTTTGCTTGATAGGTATTACCCCCTGAAGAGTAGATGACCCCTATTGATTTTGAGGTCACAGGGTCAAGGGTCAAACTGGACATAGTAAAATATATTGACATTTCAATATATCTAGAACCCTTTGCTTGACAGACATCAAGCATGGAACACTGGTTCCCTTTAATGAGTAGATAACCCCCATTGATTTTGAGGTCACAGAGTTAAAGGTTAAGGGTCAAACTGGATGTAGGAAGATATTGACCCCTCAATATCTTGAGAACCCTTTGCTTGACAGACATGAAACTTGGTACACTGGTTCCCTTAATAAGTAAATGACCACTGAGATTTTGAGATCACAAGATCAAAGATCAACCTACTCTAAGAGGTATGAATATATTGTCCATTCAATATCTTGAGAATCCTTTGATTGACAGACATCAAAGGATAAGATGATTGATATTGATTTTTAGGTCACAAGATCAAAGGTCAGGGGTCAAACTGGACATAAGAATATATTAACAGGTCAATATATTGAAAACCCTTTCCTTAACAGGCATCAAACTTGGTACACTGGTTTCCCTTAAGATGTAGTTGATTGACCCCTGTACATTTTGAGGTCATAAAGTCAAAGGTCAAGGGTCAAATTACTCTTGACACAGGAAGACTTTGTCTGCTCAATATCTTTAGAACACTTTGTTTGGCAGACATCAAATTTGATGGATCCCCTTAAGGAGTGATGATCCCTTTTGATTTTACAGTCACAAGGTCAAAGGTCAAGGGACTTACAATATAGATACTAGACATTGAAAGATATTGACCCCTCAATAACTTAAGAACTCATTGCTTGACAGACATCAGTAGACATCATAGAGAGGGGATGACCCCTATTGATTTTGCTGTCACAGGGTCAATGGTCAGGCTTCAAACAACATACATACTAGACAAAGTAAATATTTTCAGCTCAGTATCTTGAAAACCATTTGCTTTACAGACATCAAATCTGGTACACTAGTACCCTCTAAGATGTAAATTACCTCTGTTGATATTGAGGTCTGGTAGAGATCAAACTTCGTATTACGTTTGCCCCTGACTAATAGAAGACCAGTTGTGTTTCACTATCATTAGAGTCTAGTGATGGGAATCAGTAAGAATTTCATAATCGATGATTGGGCTACTGTAATTAACTAATTATCAATCATAATCGGACATTTACAAAGTCTGTCAATTTAGTTTATTAAATAATAAGAATGGGTATATAACTACTTTCTGTGGTGGTCCAGCTGTAGTTAGAATAATCTAAATGTGTCTCGAGAAAAGTCGTAGTCCTTAGGACAATATCATTTTAACGATAGAACGTTCTGTCTAGTCTAGCTGGTTCTTCGTTCATTTTGTAGAATCCAAAGTACATCCATAACCAGGAATGGGCGTTGTTACCCAGGTATGAATACAATTGTCTGTTTGTCTGTGTCATTACAATTCACAGATAAGTTAATAGATAAGTTGTGGCTGGAATATTCCGCTTATAAACTATTATGCTTGTAAAATAAAAAAAATAACCCGATTAATTGGAATAAAAATTTTGTAATCGAATGCTTGGATTATGCCAGCAATTGACTGATTTTTGATTATAATCGATAATTGGAACACCACTATTAGAGTCAGACATTCTAAATTTGAAGTTGTCCCCTTTTTGATATTGCTAATGAAGGGCATATATTTTTTCTTAAATCTCAAACATTTCTCGTCTGTAATCACTATATACAATAGGGAACTAATGTCAGTTCCTGTATTCCTACCCATATTTTGTAATGGAAACTCATACTTGGCTTAAAGGTAGGTTATGAACTAAGACTGTATTACCACCTTGACCCAAGGTCATCTAAGCAAGTTCAAGGTCACTCAGAAAAAAAGGATATAATCTGAGTATACCTTTCACAAAACTTTTTAAGAGAAAAACATTTTATGCAGAACATATTTTTTTTCTTCAAAAAATGGGGTAGCAGGGGAGAAGGGGGTGAAATATAAGGACAGTACATCTCATTATGAGCTTTTGGAATTTGTTACAAAATTCTACCATATAGCATCATTATCTCTAATAAGTTATCATTACAGTCATTTTATGACCTATTTAAGAGTCATAACATTTGTCCATTATATCAATCAACATTTTATTATATTACAACTTATAAGTCATTTAACAGCTGCTCTTGAATACAATGTGAACACTGCTTTATAGCTAAAATAAGAAAAAAAAATCTCAGGACTTCCATATACACTAATCTTATGGTGAACAGAATGATGGCTAAAACCAATAAAGAAATCAAGCACTGTTTATAAATGTTTATCCTCTAGCTATCACAAGACAGTAGTGTAGAATTATGAACTTCAAGTTTGATTTTTTGCTGAATGACCATCCACTATTGAAATATCATTTTGCATGGAGGGAGCATTCTCCTCAGGGAAGAATTGGACTGAGACCTGTGAAGTAGATAAATCTTTAGAGTTTAAGACTATTCCTTCATTTAGTAGTTTTTTCCGAGTCTTTACAACTTCAATTTCAATGTCATTTATCACTTCCTGTTTGTAAACTTCGCTGCTCTTGTCTTCTGAATCGGATTCTGGTGATGTTTTCAGAAGCTGTTCTCTTGATTTTTGTTCAAGTTTGTGTTTTCTGTCATAATAAACAACGAGGAGTAGAGCAATCATGCAAGGGATGAGGAAAATAATGCCCGCTAAAATCCCTACAATGCTGGTGAGAGATTCATCTTCAACATAAGTACACTTAGTATAGATATCGTTAGATGAATTAACCATCACATGAAGGCACACCTTAAGCTTGATATTTTTTAGATCAAAACTTTCAATTGTGAAGGAGTTTGAACTAGAATGAATTGTGACAGGGCCATAGAAATAGTCCTCAGATCCCATCTCTTTGACAGATATGCGGAAGGCATAGATCAGGGAAGAATTTACACGACTCCAGTGTATCCAGATTTTTCCTTTTCTGATCTCTACCATGTAGTGGAGGACCTGTAAATTTTTTAGAAGCAGAGAAAGTGGACTGGCTTCTAAGCATATAGGCTTGGTTGTATTTCTACATGCTGGTACCAAAGTGGAAACATTCCCAGCACTGTTATTCAAGTCTTTGCACTGAATTTCAGAACTCTTGTGTCTATAGTTGGGGAAGAAATTGTTGCGGTGCTGCAAGTTTTGACTAACCCAGACAAGGTCACAAGAACATTCAAGGTTGTTTCCATGGAGATTCATGTACTCAAGGTCATGCAGATGATGGATAAAGCAAAATTTCAGAGTCTGAAGTGCTGTCCTTTGTAAATCTAGATGCACTAGGTGCTGTGGAAGTTTGATTGAACTTGCATCCATTTTCAGATTAAATGGGTTTCCAGACAAATCCAACAGTTTGAGTTCAAGTAGCCTTTTTAGTGAGAGTGGATGAATGTCCAAAATTTTGTTTTCTGCTAGGTAAAGCTCTTGGAGACTAGTTTCCAGCCCTGAGAACATATGTTCAGAGATGATCCTCAAGGAATTGAAAGATAAAATCAGTTTTCTGATGAGTCTTGTTGGTCCAAAGTAACCATTTGGAATGTCAGTTATCATGTTATTTGAAAGGTCTAGAATTTCAACAGAAGGAATCCATGATAAATCATCTGGCTCCAAGAATGTGATGGCATTTCTGGACACATTTAGAAGGTGGATACCAAGCTTTTGTATGTTAAAGGCACTAATATCTTCTATTTCATTGAAAGAAAAGTCCATTGTGTTAACCTGCTGCAGATTCATGAAGATATTGGGTATAGACTTCATTGAGGTGTCATGGAAACGGAGTGTTTCGATATCCCTAATTCCTTCAAAGTAATCCATTGGAAATATAGTCATTATGGAATTTCCTAGAACAATCAGGGATTTCCAGGACTCTTGGTCTAGGTAAGGTCTACTTGTGTTCAGTAACTTAGGTATGATGGTCTTGTTTCCATAGTAACATGTAACCATGGTTCCAAGGGACTCACTCACATTGTATTGACAATCCTTGGAGAGGTCATCTATCTGATATGAAGAGGTCAAGGTAACAAAGGTCATGTGTAACAGCCAGATTTGGGTCTTCTGTAGCATTTTGCCTAAAAGAATTCAGAACAAACTTGTTAGAATTGTACATCAGTGTGTGAAGCTTACTGTTGAAATTGGTCTTATTATCATTGGAGCCAAGGGGCAAATGAAATATTCTTATCAAGATTTGATTGTTAATGTTTTTCATCCATCAGTTTTTCTGGTTTCTGTCAATGAATTTTACATTGTTACATTCTTACATTCCAAGTTCAAAGATGCATGTAAATGCAATTTAAAGGTTGATGAATTTTAAAGTGTTGTGAAATTTGTAATCTTTTGTTTTCATATATTATTCCTAATATTATTAACATTTCAAAAGACATTGTAATGATACATATCTAAAATATTTAAAACATAGCTCTCATTTTTCAAACATATATTGGCTTCAAAGTAACATTCCCATTTTTATCCTTTATTTACCAGGAAATATCCCAAATGTATGAATTTTATTGTGTTTCTTTATTTTCTTTTTCTTTAACACCTTGTAGAATAGGTTACTTAAATCTATCAAATGTTAGGTCTGTGCGTCATTCACTTTCCTAAGTTACATGCCCCTAGCACCCAGTTCCAGATTAAAGTTTAGATAACCGCCATTATCATGGCACGACCTATCCTATCGCCTGCATAATGACACATTTATTGTTTATATTTTACAAACAAAAAAAGGAAGGAAAAGAAAAGAGAAGAAAAAAAATGAAGTTAAACTATAAACATTTTTCAGTTTTTAGATTTCTTGATATGTTTAAATTTATCCATTATTATAATTATGAAATGGGGTTCATTAAATCCTGAAATATGATAATTAATATATGAAATAAATCACCCCTATCACAATTATATTCAGCTGGCCAACTAAAATGACTTAAATTCATCTATAAGGAATTTGAAATTATTATTGTTAAAATAATTGATGCAGGCTGAGGTCATTATAACTAAAGGTCAGTATTATCCCACAACTTTGTTGAACAGCATACTCTAGCATCCACTCTAGCAGTCCATACTTTGCTGTTTAACTTAACTCTAAAGATCAAATTCCAACTGTGAAGTTTATATTTGTCTTTTCCTTATCTGGACCAGAACTTAACTTGGAGCTATTTATAAAATTACACCTCATATCACAAGTAGAGAGTCTTTGTCTAATTGTTCATTTTGCTAACTTCAGCAGCTTTTGAAAATATGTGGATTTTATTTCTCATATTAAGTCAGTGCAGAACTGGAATGTAAAAAAAAAAAAAGAAAGAAAAAAGAACAGTTGGAAAAATATTAATTACATTTAAGACAAACTTCCTTATTATAATTTTAGGTATAATGAAAGTTTTTAAGTGAAATAAGAATTGCTTTCTTGCCATGTTCCATGACATTTGTTAACTATAACTTTATTTTTCATCAGGTATTTTTTATAGAAAATTTGATAAGCTTATAAGTGTACACTGATCACCATAGTTTCATAGAAGTATCAATTGATTCTCATAATCTGAGGTGTAAAATTTTACAAAAAATGTTATTATTAGTTAAATAATTAACCATTTCATGATAACTGGGGTATTGCACTCTTGCAGGGCAAAATGATATATCTTAATTGGTGAAATATGATGTAAAAGCAATTGGTTAATATACTGTATTAGCAGAATTTTTATTGAGGATTCAATTTTGGCATTATTAACGAGGTTGTTGAGATCCCTAAAATTGCATATTGCTAACAATTCATTCAGCACAATAGGAGGTAAGGCCATCTTGCAAGATATTATCAAATCGCCAAAATTACTTCTCGCTAAAATTATATACAGAATTTTACAGCTAAAATGCTAAATTTGCATCTCGCTAAAAATTCAACTTATATGATATGTAATTTAATTATCTGTCAACTAAAACTCCTCAAAATATTATTAATTTGCCCTGTAAAAGAGAACTGCAGTTGTTGTGAAAGGGCTAATTGCTATATTTTAATTGATGTCAAGATGCAAATTTTCTGTGATTTAATTAATGTTGCTTAATGTGGCTAAAATTGGAAATTTGAAAATAGGAGATAAATCTCTATTGCACCAACACAAAGGGTACTTTTTAATTTTTTTTTTTTAAATCTGAGGTTATGCATTAGCCAGTAGAGGTCATTTCAAGGTAAAAATTAATAAAAACAATCAATATTTCAAATATTAAAAAGTTCTATCATATTGTTCAATTTCTATTGAATTTTTCAATCATAAAATAGCATCATTAAACACAACTCATGTTGTTGGTTTTTTTTTTTGGTTTTACCAGGTATTTTTTTTTTGTTAAATCTAAGATTAAAAAAGATTTATTTTTTTGTACTTAAAATTCTATGTTTTATAATATCATATATATACAATAATAGAATGTTGGTAATTTTACACTTACACTGGATTAAGGATTTGAATAAGTAACATCCAACACAACAATTGGTAATAATAGACAGCGTATTCAGAGTATCTATATATATACAGAACCTGTTCATTGGTCCAAATCTGAGGTGTTCACACGAGACTTACAGTACACTATAAATATCTATTGATTTGGTACTTGAGGTTTCCTTTTTTGAACACTTCAGTATGTTTGCATTAAATGAGGGATCTGTTTTTATTTTTTCCTCCCTGTTGGACCAGTTAGGGAACAAAAGAATCCCTGATTGATTAAGTGGGAAAGGAAAGAGTCGGATGGGTAGTGAAACTTGAACTGTACCTTAAATGAAGATAAAAAATGTGTAGGTTTGAGAAAATGATAATAGTTGAATTGTTCTGTTATTAGATGAACTGTTAAAACTTAATTCAGTACTGTCTGTTGTGAATTATAATCTAAAAGCTAAATTATTTTCTTCATTGTCAAAAATATATACTAGTATATGGGATTATAATTGTAAGTTTATTTTAAAATTAAATGTTGAATATGAAAATTATTAATTTCTACGTACATTTAGCTTGATATCACATCTGAAATTCTTTCGAAATGTAAATGACATCCCTCCCCCTACCCACCCCCCAAAAATCAATCTAAATTTTATTTAAAAATAATTAGGAGTAGTAGTTTTTTTTTACCTATATTGATCAAATGTCTGGAAGGTCTATATTTGAACTTCCTTCACTGATAGAAGATTTATGAACCCGTATTTTAATGGCCATCTTAAAAGCAATAAATAAAGGTACAAAACACAAAACTGACAAAAACATGTTTATATTTCAAGGTGATGCAATGGAGTAATGAAAAATGAGTGTCTATGATTTATAAGGTTACTCTCCTCTATATATCTGTAGTCTTTCTATATATTTCTATATATATATATATATAAAGAATGTCCCCAGCAAAATCCTGATGGGGTCTTTGTCCAGCAAGGCAACTGTCCCCTCAGAACCTTACACCTGGGGGGTGGGATAGTGCCAGGTAAAATGTCAGGTGGATTTTTGCAATAACTGGCATCTCTCTTTCAAGATGAATGTACCTTGCTGGCGTGCTGAATAAAATTCCTATTCGTTTTGAGAGCTCTTTAGAAAGCTGTGGGTTCAGAGCTGGGTACTGACATGGGCTTTGTTTACAGGAATAACATATCCTCCACACTGTGTTACAGAGAAGGTAAGGTTGATAGGCTAGCTTGATTCAATCCGTCTGTTTGAACCTACACCATGTGTCATTTTTGTACTCATTTAACCTGCATATATACATGTATGAACTCATACACAAGTCTGAAGAAAACTCTCTGTGTAATATCATACTCTTGGAATATTTAGTATGGCACTATGACATGTATTTGTGTTAGTGGCTGGGTTATATAAATATATTTATTGAAGCACATGGCTAGTCATGTGTGAGTGGGTTTGTCTTGATGTAAATATTCTTTTGTCTCAAATATACAGGCATGAAGGGTATACTGTCATATCCCCCCCCCCCCCAAAAAAAAAATAGACAGTTACATGTCCTTAAATAAACCATTAGTCTTAAAACCTCTTGCAAACAAAGTTTGGGTAAATATTGGAGTTATCCTGTCCATATGTTCATCTGTCTTTTTGGCATATTACCTTTCAAACTTGTCCTCAATTTCATTTCAAACTTCAAACTATTAGTAATTTTTGTGGTTTGAGGAAAAAATATTGGTTTAAGGACAAACGCAATGTACGGTAGTTTTGAACTTTAGTTATTCTCTGTATACTTTAAAAGTTACAATAATTGATGGACCTTTGTGTGACTTTAATAATGCCTAATGATGCTGTACACCTCTTATAAATCAAATTGTAAGGAAATAGCAGCTAAAACTATACTTTTGTTAAATTTTCTTCAAATAAGTCAAGGATTTTTATCATTTGGTACTGTAGATTCCTAAATATACATGAGGAATTAATTATTGCATAATTTTTTTTTATTTTTATGGTGCTGAAATCCATGTAAAATCTCTTGATCATCCATCCATTCATTACTACTTTCATTATTACTCTCGTGAGGGTCATTTGCGATAATAAGTACTCACTTAAATAAGGAATTTACGGTATCTCTTCAAAATCCCTGGTAATGTATGCTGATTTTTTGTCTATGAATGTCTGATGGCACTATGATTTTATAATTAAAAATATCTTGAAAAATTTTCAGTAGGGAAGGTATGTTATGGGTTACATGTACATATATGTTGCAAATGTCCTTAAAAGGATTTGATTTCATGGTTGAAAAAGTGCTGAGTTGTTATTTATTTGAAATTTGACATTTTGTGGAGGACATACACTATTATTGTATTATTTACTGTAATTACTGTGAATTAAAGTTTGCCCCCCCCCCCCCCCCCTTTCCCACTGTTCAATACTGAACTGATTTCTGCTTCTTCCTAGCCTGTGTGCTCAGGTGAGTGATTTGGCCCATGGCCCTCTTGTTTAAGAAGTCATATCTTTTAAAGGATTGATCATTATTTCAGTGACAGGATTTTTTAAAAAAATTCTTTTTCAAGATGTAAATTGAAATTGAGAAATTTTAGGAGCTCTTACTTGGTAAAAATTTGTTTTTT